CGAACGCTGTGCAGGCTCACAACGCCCTCGTTTCGGACGCGGACAGGGTGGTTTGCAACCCGGAGCAGCACGGCAGCCAGAAGAGAATCGGCGACGCCGTTGACGACGCGGCGCTCGCTAGCCTCCAGACTGGCGCCTCCGTTGCCACGCGGGCGCACCTGATTTTGCTCCAGGCACCTGGCGCTGGCGTTTTCCTCCAGGCGCCGCCCTGCGAGGCCGCTGGCACCCGCTTCCCGCGCGGGTTCTGCCAGGTAGCTGTCCAACGCAGGCTCCGCGTGCAGCTCATGGACCACGAGGATTTCTGCCCCGCCTGCGGAGAAGTGATGGACGTCTGGCTAGACCACGCCGTTGCCTGCTCCTGCCGCGGCGACAGGACGAAGCGCCACAACGCGCTTCAGAACCAGGGGTTCTTCGACGCGCAAGCAGCCAGCTTTGCGGGGGCGGAGCTGGAGCGGCCGGGGCTCCTCCCGCCGCGCGCAGCCAACGAAGGGCCACCGGGCGGCGAGCAGGACGACCCAGACCTGGACGGAGGCGACAGGCGCCCCGCGGACGTCTTCCTGCCCAGGTGGCGCAACGGGGTGCCAGCGGCCTGGGACTTCGCGGCCACTTCTGGCATGCGCGGCGACCTCCTCGGCGCGTCTGCTGCGCCCACCAGCGCGGCCACGGAGAGGCACGAGGAGTTCAAACGGCAACACTTGGACACCGAGCGCCAGTGCGCGGCGCAGGGCTTCACCTTCATATCCATGGCGGTGGAGGCCCACGGTGGCGGGTCGAGGCGCGAAGTCAGGAGAGCTTTTGCGATCTTGACCAAGCGGGAGGAAGCTGCCGCAGTGGCAGACCGGCACGCCCGGCGACTCAGTCTCCCTGCGTCGGGAGAACGCGCGGGCGGTGCTGCGACGGCTGCAACCTTCGGCGGGGGTGCCCGCTGCGCGCCTCGCAGCGGCATCGGTGGCGATTGCCGCTGACGCCATCTGGGTTGCGGTCGCCGTCGGTGCCGGCTGGCCCTCGGCCCCTTCCGCCCCCCGACGACCCCTCCCCGACGACCAACGGCGGCCCCCAGCGCCGCGACGACCCGCGACGAATCCACGCGACGACCCACGACGAACCCCACGACGACCCTCGTTCCTTCCGCCCCCCGCCTGCCCCCGTCGCGCGCGCTTGCCTTCTGCTGCTTTTGCCGCCCCCCCTTGCTTCCTGCATCGTTGTGTCTGCTCGTCGCGTTTTTCCTTTGTTTCCTGGCCTGCTCCCTTCTCCCCCCTCCCTCTCTGGTCTCGTTTCATTGCCCCCGCCGTACTCGTTGTCTCTCATTGCCTCGCATTACAGGCGTGGCCGCAGCTCTGGCCCACGCCAGTTTTTCATCCTGAGCCGTTTTCGGACGGCCCTGGTACCCCAGGAGGACGCACTCCTGCAGCAGGAGGCGCACGGATTCTGACGAACAGCTTGCCAGTCCGTCTGTTTATGGCGTTTTTCCTTGTTTCCGTCGTAGCAGTAGTGCCACCAAGTGTGCGTTACCACCGTTGCCGCCTCTAGCTCATTCTAGCTGGCATCGCCTAAACTGTACCACGTAACTTGCACCATAAAGCTTGCACCAGGTAGCTTGCACACCCAAAGTGCAGTGACTTGTTGTTTGGGGTCCACGCGGGATAGTATTTAATCGCTTCGCTCATTCCGCCGGCCCACATTGCCTCGCCGTTGTCGTTTGTCGGGGTGTCTCTGTTGGGGCTCTCTTGGGACGCCTCTTGGTGGCCTCTTCGGGGGTCTTGTACGCGTCGTGGGCCGTTTGGACGCCATCGTGGGTGTCTCGGATTGATCGTTCGACGAGTGCCACTTGGAGCGCTGCCAATTGCCCGAGTGATCGTTGTCAATGCGGTACTGCTGAGTGGGGTTGTTGATCGAAGACGCCTACGGCGAATCACCGCCGCCCCCTGCCTTTTTGGAAGCGCCTATGTGGCCGAACGTTGAGGCCAGACCTGCCAAGCTATCGGACCACGTGTTCCCCGAATCGGTTTGGAAAGCCTTCGGGGAACACGTGGGCATCTTGAAGGTCATCTTGGCCGTCTTGGAGGCCTCTTGGGCAAGCTTTGGGCGATCTTTGGGGCTTTTTGGGCCGTCTCGGGCCAGCTTCGAGCCAACTTCGGCCATCTTGGTGGGTTCCTGGCACGTCTGAAGCCGTCGGAAGCCGTTTGGGGGGCCTCTATGGGCCGACTTGGGGCCCGCTTGGAATGCTCCAGGGCCGTCTTGGAGGCCATCTTGGGCGTCTGGGAGGCCATCTTGGGCGTGTTGGAGGCCTCTTGGGCCCTCTTGGGGCCCTCTAGGGGCCATCTTGGAGGCCACTTGGGCCATCATGGGGCTCTCTTGGGGGCCTCTTGGGCGATCTTGGGGGCTTCTTGGGCCGTCTTGAGCCGTCGGAGAGCCGAAAAGGCGCAAATGCCAAAATCCTTCAAAAACCAATGGAAAATCAATGATTTTGGCCTCTTCGGACTCTCCTGGAGGACCTCTTGGAGGCCTCTTGGGCCGTCTGGGAGGCCTCTGGGGGGCCTCTTGGGCCGTCTTGGGCCGTCTTGGACTCTCTTGGGCCGTTTTGGAGGCCGTCTTGGACCATCTCGGGCGGACTTGGAGGCCATCTTGGGCCATCTTCGCGATTTTTTGAGGATGTCCCGAGCGAAACGGCCGTTTTTGGGCATTGACAGACGCATTTTGGGAAACGCGCGGGTGGCCGGCGGGACGGGCCGAAGCCCACTGGGGAGTTCTTTTAGAAAAAGAACCAAAACCAAAACCTGAATCATCCAGCACGCCGTGCACCCCTGCAAGCAGGGGGCGGCGGATCGAAGACGCCTACGGCGAATCACCGCCGCCCCCTGCCCTTTCGGAAGCGCCGATGCGGCCGACTGCTGTGGCCAGAGGTCTGCCAAGTTATTGGGCCATATGTTCCCCGAATCGGTCTTTACAGCCTTCGGGGAACACGTGGGGGAGGACGGGGAGGAGAGGAGAGATAGGAAGGGGGGGAATGGAGGAGGAGGTCTCTTGAGTGCCTTTTTGGCTACTCTGGGTTTATATTGGGCCACATGTGCGGTCTTGGAAGCATCTTGGGGGCCTCTTTGGATGCCTTGCGGCCTTCCTGTTCTGCCTGACGCCGTCTGGGCTGGGTTGGGGGCCTCTCTGTGGCCTCACTTGGGTTTATCGTGGCCGTAGTGGACGCCAGCGTGGGCGTTTGGGAGATCTGCCGGGCCGTCTTGGGGCTGTCTTTGGGGCCGTCTTGGGGCTTTCTTGGGCCGTCTTGGAGGCGTCTTGGAGGCCATCTTGGAGGCGTCTTGGAGGCCTCTTGGGCCGTCTTGAGGCCCTCTTGGGGCCTTCTTGGGGGCCTCTTGGGCCGTCATGGGGCCATCTTGGAGGCCTCTTGGGTGCTGTTGGGGCGATGTTGGGGACCTCTTGGGCCGTCTTGGGCCGTCGGAGAGCTGAAAAGAAGAACATGCCAAAATCCTTGAAAAACCTAAGGAAAATCAATGATTTTAACCTATTCGGGCCTTCCTGGAGGGCGTCTTGGAGGGCTCTTGGGCCGTCTTGGAGGCCTTTTGCGGGCCTTTTGGGCCGTCTTAGACCATCTTGAGGCCATCTTGGGCCGTCTTGGGTGCATCTTGGAGCCATCTTACCCGTTTTGGAGGCCATCTTGGCCGTCTTGGAAGCATCTTGGAGGCCATCTTGGGCCATCTTGGCCGTCTTGGAGGCCATCTTGGGCCAAGTTGGGGCAACAAAGGCATTGACAGATGGATTTTCGGAAACTTGCGGGTGGCCGGCGGGACGGGCCGAAGCCCACTGGGGAGTTCTTTTAGAAAAAGAACCAAAACCAAAACCTGAAACATCCAGCACGCCGTGCACCCCTGTGGCAAGACCACAGGGGGCGGCGGATCTAGGCCTTCGGCCCATCCCGCCACCGTGCTTGGGTGGTGGGTCGGAGGCCTCATGGATGTTGGTTGGGCTCTCGTGGATGGCCTTTCGGGGGCCTCTGGGAGGCAGTTTGAGACCTCTTGGGGGCCGTGTTGTGGCCTCTTGGGGCCTCTTGAGGGCCTATTGGGGTTTCTTGAGGTGCCTCTTGGTGGGCCCTTGGGGCCTCCTGGTGGCTTCTTGGGGCTGAAGATTGGACTTTTCGGTTCCTGGCCCCCTTGTTGGGCCCCTCTTGCGGCCGTTTTAGGGCCCTCTTGGGTCGTCTTGGGCGCCTCTTGGGCCGTTTTGGTGCCTTCTTGGGCCGTGTTGGGGCCCTCTTGGGCTCTCTTGGGTCCATCTTGGGGGCATGTTGGACCGTTTGGGGACGATGTTGGAGGCTTGTGGTGCAGTTCTGGACACTGGGAGCCCCCAAACGTCGCACATACGAAAGCGCACGTTTTCCGAAGGGAATGGGGCGATTTTTGCGTGTTGAGGCCCTCTTGGAGAGCCTCTTGAGGTTTTATTGGGTTTTTTTCGCGGCCTCTGGGGCCGTCTGGAGACCATGCTGAGCGTCTTGGAACGATCTTTCAGCGACTCGGTGCCTCTTGGGCAGGCGCCCTGGGGGAGTCAGCCGGGCATCGCACGGGCATCGGCTGGGGTACTTTTCGTCCAGGGGTCCCCAGGGGCCGCTACGCGCGCGCGATTTAGAAATACTGTTAACCTGTTGCCGGAGATCTTAGCACGCCTCTGGCCCGTTGGGTCGGCGAATTTCCCTTATCATTGTGTTTCTTCCTTCGCATGACGGATGCGAGGCAGTTCCTTTGCGAGACGGGGCTGTCGCCTCAACGGCAGGCCCGTACGTTTCTGGTCTTTCAGGAGGGCGTTTCTTGCAGTGGAATGGAGGGCTTGTAGGGAGTGATGAGGAGGGGACTTGTGACGGGAGGCCTCCTCCTGGCCTCCTGGCAGGGGGCCTCGGGTGCAAACCCGACCTGTCCGGCTACTGCTCCGGGGGGGGGGCGAGAAACAGGAAGGGCAGCATATAGAAGACTCGGAGCGAAATTGCAACACCGCTGAACGGCATGCTGCCACGGAGCCACGCAGGGGTGGGCGTTTTCCTTCTGAGGGGGGGCCGCTCCCAAGTGAGGCGTTCCAGAAAGAGCCTCGCCTTCGAAGATGAAAAGGAGTTGCCGTCTCTTCCTTGGCAGAAGGCGGCGGAAGGGCGGCGGAGGCTGGCGGAAGTGAAACGAGGCTGCCTCCGCCGGCGGAAGCTGGCGGAAGCGAAAGATGCGCCCCCAAGGGATGGCAACACTTTTTAGGGCTCAGAGTTTCCGGAATCGCCCAAGCGTCTCCACGTGTCTGCCCCCTGCTCGCTCCCAGACGTCCGCCGATCTGTTTTTGGCTTCCGCGGCCCCAGGGTTCCCGACCCCTTCCCCAGAGGCAGTTCTGCGCACGGACCCATTTCTGACGGCCCCGGGGCCCGAGAAGGGGCTCTGGAGGCCGAAGTGAAGGAAGCACGCGGGTGTTGAAAAAGTCAGATCGTCGGAGGTTTGGGCTTCCTCGGGGAGGAGCACGGCCCGCTCGCGGAGGTGACGGTGCGGGACGAGCCTGAGGTGTTCCTGGAGATGATCAAGTTCGTCTACCTCAACACTTGCCACGTCGACCAGTCCAACGTGAAGGCGCTCATGCACATTGCCGACAAGTATGGCGTGGAGGATCTGGTCGCACACTGCTTGCAGTGGATGCGGGGGGGAGAAGCATGCTGACCATGACCAGGATATCGCGGGATCTTGTCGACGCCGATCTTGGTAATGCTCCATGCTGGCCGTCGTCGGTTCGCGAGGATGGTCCACGAATCGAAGGTGACCGACATGCGCGGTGACCAAGATCGGCACCGACGTTTCCTCGCTCAGTCTTGTTAATGCCGTTCGTTGTTTTTTGTCTTCCAGGATGCACGACCACTTCACGGCCAACCTGTTCTACCTGTTCCTGACCTTCAAGCTGTCGAACGAGCGGTTCGCGCAGAAGGTGCGGAGCAGCCTCCTGCTGGCCCTCCGGAGCCGGCGGCACTTCTCGCTGGTCACGGAGTCCGCCGAGAGCCAGTGGGATGGCCTTCAGGTTCGGGTCGGACGATACAGCAGGGACATCGAATAAGGAACCGGCCTGTCAGCAGGTGCCCCACGGAAGCTTCTGGTCCCCCGATCGTCGGGCGTCGCGTAATGGGGGGGACAAGTGGGGGGACAGCGAGGGATGCAGAAAAGGAGCCCTTTAGGGCCCCTAAAAGAGCCTGTTAGGGTCCAAAAGGTGGCCTTGAGGGCCCGAAAAGCGCACCTCTTTTTTTTTTGTTCTCTCTCTCTCTCTCTCCCTCTCTCTCTCTCTCTCTCTTTCCCCCCCCCTCCACCCTCATTTATCGCCCCCCTGTAAGCGACGCCGAAGATGGCTCCAGGGGCGCACAGAGGCTCTGGGGCGCCCGAGGACGGGCCTCCCAGGCGGCGCCTCCGGCGTCGCCCCTGGCGCGCTCCGCGCGCCAGGGACAGGGGTCATGCGCCGATCCAAGAAATGTGCACGAACTCTTGAAAGTTTCCACGGGGGGTATTTTTTTCTCCTTCTAGTGCGCGGGTCAGCACACGCACACACACGCACCAGCATGGGCGGTTGCATCCACCGAGGGAAGATGATCCTGATCTCGGTGTGGTGGTAATGCCAGGGATTCTCAGGTGGCCGAGAGATTACCACCAGCAGACAATCCAGGATTATCTTCCCCTGGTGGAGGCAACTCCCTGTGTTGGTGTTGGTTTCAATTTCCAGGCCCCCGGCGATACGGGGGAGTGGGCGCCAGGAGAGGGGTCCAGCGCAGATCCAAGAAATCTGCGCGGAGCTCCGAAAGTTCGCTCTTGTGAAGTTTTTTTTGTTCTAGATTCGCCAGCCCCCTCTTTGCCAACTCTCTCCCGTTGCCCGTCCGACCCGGCAGGTGTCGTTCGTGGAGGCGCTCCTGGACAACGACGAGCTCCCGGTGGTCTCGGAGGCCGAGGCCCGAGGCTCCGTAGACAGGGGAGGTGTATGGCCCAGGGTGGGGTCAGGAACCGAACCCAGCGTGAGGCCGGATATTTCCCGCCCCAGGGCGACGACCGAAGACAAAACAACGGCTTAAACATAGGCTATCTGCGCTCCGCGCGGATTTCTTGGATCGGCGCCTGGGCCTCCTGGCGGCGCCCCCAGCGCCGCCCCTGGCGCGCTCCGCGCGCCAGGGAGGGGGAATCAGCGCAGATCCAAGAAATCCGCGCGGACCGTCGAAACATTCTGTTCATGCACCTGTCCCTTCTTGTAGATGTTCCCAGACACCCCCCGATGTGTGATTTTATTGGACCCGCGCAGGGAGGAGGAGGAGGAGGAGGAGGAGGAGGAGGAGGAGGAGGGGGAGGACGGGGAGGATTGTGAATAGGAGGACGAGGACAGAGGAGGAGAGGAGGAGGAGGAGGAGGAGGAGGAGGAAGAAGAAGAAGAAGAAGAGCATGAGGAGGAAGACGATGAGGAGGAGGATGAGGAAAGAGGAGGACGAGGAAGAGGATAACGCAGGAGGAGCATGAAGAGGAGGAGGAGGAGGTAGAGGAGGAGGAGGACGCTGGGAAGCAGTAGAAAGAGAGGCGGAGGAGGCGGAGCAGGGCCAGGGTAGGACCATATTTTGAGGAAGTATGGGAGGATCAGGGCAGGATAACCAGAGTAGTAGCAGCATAGGACCAGAGGCGGAGGAGGAGGAGGAGGAAGAGGAGGAGGAGGAGGAGGAGGAGGAGGAGGAGAGGAGGAGGAGGAGGAGGAAGGGGAGGAGGAGGAGGAGGAGGAGGAGGAGGAGGAGGAGGGGAGGAGGGGATGAAGAGGAGGAGGAGGAAGGAGGAAGGAGGAGAGGAGGAGGAGGAGGAGGAGGAGGGGAGCTGAACAGGAGGAGGAGCCGGAGGACGGAGGAGGAGGAGGAGGAATGAGGGGAGGAGAGGAGGATGCGGAGGGGGAGAGGAGGAGGACCAGATTGAGGAGGAGGAGGAGGAGGAGGAGGAGGTAGAGGAGGAGGAGGAGGAGGAGGAGGATGAGGAGGCGAGGAGGGAGGAGGAGGAGGAGAAACGAGGACGAGAGGGGAGCTTGAGAAGGAGGGGGAAGAGGAGGAGGATAAGAGGAGGAAGAGGAGGAGCTGGAAGGGGGGGAGGAGCAGGAGGAGGAGCAGAAGGCCGGAGGACGGAGGACGGAGGAAGGGGAGAACGAAGGACCAAGGACGAAGGACGCAGGAGGAGGAGGAGGGAGGAGAAGAGGAGGAGAGAAGGGGGAGGAGGAGGAGGAGGAGGAGGAGGAGGAGGAGGAGGAGGAGGAGCAGGAGGAGGAGGAGGAAGAGGAGGAGGAGGAGAGGAGGAGGAGGAGGAGGAGGAGGAGGAGGAGGAGGAGGAGGAGGAGGAGGGGAGGAGGAGGAGGAGAGGAGGAGGAGGAGGAGGAGGGAGGAGGGAGGAGGGAGGAGGGGGAGGGAGGAGGGAGGAGGAGGGGGGAGGGAGGAGGGGAGGAGGGAGGAGGGAGGAGGGAGGAGGAGGAGGGAGGAGGGAGTAGGGAGGAGGGAGGAGGGAGGAGGGAGGGAGGAGGGAGGAGGAGGAGGAAGAAGAGGAGGAGGAGGAGGAAGAAACATTCGAAGAAGAATAATAATAATAAGAAGAAGAAGAAGAAGGGGAGGATGAGGAGGAGGAGGAGGAGGAGGAGGAGGATAACTGCGAATGGGAGGACGACGGAGGTGGTTGACGGAGGTGGATGACGGAGGAGGAGGAGAAGGAGGAGATGAGGAGGAGGAGGAGGAGGCGGAGGCGGAGGAGCAGGAGGAGGAGGAGGAGAAGGAGGAGGACTGCGATCAGCTGGAGTAGGAGGAGATGAGGAGGAGGAGGAGGAGGAGCTGGAGGAGGAGGAGGAGGAGGACCAGTGTAAACCCAAAAGGCATCAACGATGTTGGAATAAACCCCGTCTTCAAGCTCTCTCTTCATATGCCCCTACAACGGTTCATTTCATTGAGGGAACTGCCGCGTTGGAAGACAATTGTCGCAAGACCCTGAAGCATGCCAAAATATTGTTCTCAGGATTCCAACGCCACGGATGGACTGGATTGTTGCGTTTTGACGATCAAGACTCGCGCCACAACGACATTCCTGGCGCCTGAACACCGCGAATCAAAATAATTGTTGCACCCCCATAAGCCTTCCAAAACAAAGTTTCTGGTACGCTGATCATGGGAAATCGTGAAACTATGGCACATGTTCAAGACAGGTTTGCGCGGCGCTGAGGCGAGAGCCACATTTTCAAAAGGAACCTCCCTCAATCCGTGAAACTCTTGCAAAGTTTGAAGACAAATGTGCGCGGCGCTGAGGCGAGAACCACATTTTGAAAAGGAACCGCCCTCAATCCGTGAAGCTCTTGCAAATTCTTAAGATGAGTGTGCGCGGCGCTGAGGCGAGAGCCACATTTTGAAAACGACTCGCCTTCAATTCGTGAAACTCTTGCAAAGTTTTAAGACGAATGTGCGCGGCGCTAAGGCGAGAGCCAAATTTTGGGGAGACGACCCGCCCTCCATGTGCGAAGCTGTTGTCAATTTTTAAGCTTCAGAGTCGTAATGGTAAGGAAGTCTGAGGCGAAACGCCCGGCCCGCCCTAAAAAGTGGCTTCGGGGTGCGACAGGGAGAAGTTATTCATAAAGAGAAGGAATGAAGAAGAAGATAAAGAACAAGTAGAAGAAGAAGAAGAAGACGAAGAAGGAGGAGGAGGAGGAGGAGGAGGAGGATGGAGAACGGAGGACGGAGGACGGAGGACCGAGAGGTGCTGAACTTGCTCGCCAAGTGGGCCAGCGGGGCGCTGGAGCGCCAGGGCGTGCGCGGCCGGTCCGCGGGCTCACTCGCAACGGGCTGTTCTGGCACCACAGGGCGCCCTGGATCCGCTGCCGATCGCCTGCCGTGATGGGAGCCAGGGCCGCTCGCCCTCGCGATGGCGGCGGCGGCGGTCGTCGCCGAGGAGGGGGCATCGAGGACGAAGGGATCGATGATCGAGGGTCCAGGAGGGGAAGGAAGAGGAGGTGGATGAGGAGGAGGAGGAGGAGGAGGATGGATCGAGGATCAAGGATACGTAGAATGGATCGAGACTCGATTACCGAGGAGGATGAGGAGGATCGAGGATCTGCAATCGACGATTGAGGAGCGACCAGGAATACCAGATCAAGGAAAGGGGTCGATGATCGAGGATCGAGAAGAAGATGAGCTCGAGGATAAGAGACCGAATTTCGAGGCGGAACAGGAGCGGCAACAGTCGTCCTTATCCTCGTTCGCGTCGTGACCCTTTCCTATCCTCCTCCTCCTCTTCCTCCTCCTCCTTCTTTTATTCCTCCTCCTCCTCCTCCTCCTCCTCCTCCTCGTGCTAGTAGTTATCATGCTCCTCCTGCTTTTTCTTCTCCTCCTTCTCCTCATCCTCCTTCTCCTCCTCCTCCCCCTCCTCCTGGGCTTCATCCTCATCCAGCAATCCCTCCTCGTCTTCCTCATCCTCCTTCGTTCCACAGGGCTCCCGCTGAGGCCACGGAGCGTGATGGAGCGTAATTTAATGGCGCCGCCACGCGACCTCTGCCACGAAGCGTGTGAGGGGTGTGACCAAATCCTCCTCTTCCTCCTCCGCCACCTCCTCCTCCTCCTCCTCTCCTCCTCCTCCTCCCGCCTCCTCCTCCTCCCGCCTCCTCCTCCTCCTCGTCGTCCTCCTCCTCCTCCTCCTCCTCCTCCTCCTCCTCCTCCTCCTCCCCCCCATCCTCCATTCCTTAGAAAAATCTTCTCCCTGTCGCACCCCGAAGCCAGTTTTTTAGGCCGGGCCGGGCCTTCCGCTTTAGATTCCCTCACCATATTGATTCTAGAGCTTCCATATAGGCAACAGTTTCACAGATGGACGGCGGGTGGTTTTCAACATGTGGCTCTCGCTTCAGAGCGGCGCACATTCGTTTTACGTTTGCAGGATTTTCGCGGATTGAGGGCGAGTGGTTTTCAACATGTGATTCTCGCCTTTGCGCGGCGCGCAATCGTCTTAAATATTCGCGAGAGCTCCACGGATTGAAGGCGAGTGGTTTTCAAAATGTGGCTATCGCCTTTGCGCGGCGCACACTCGTTTCAAAACATCTTCAAGACTTTCACAGATTGAGGGCCAGTGGTTTTCAACATGTGGCTCTCGCCTTAGCGCGGAGCGCATTCGTTTAAACAAATTGCGAGAGCTTCACGGATTGAGGGCGTCTCCTTTTTCAAAATGCGGTTCTCGCCTTAGCGCCGCGCACATTCGTCTTCAAAGTTGCAAGAGCGTTACGTATTGAGGGCGGTTTCTTTTCAATCTGTGGTTCCCGCCTTAGCGCCGCGCACATTCGTTTACGCAGTTCTCAAAAGTTTCACGGATTCCCACCATCAGCATGCCAGAAATTGTGTATTGGAAGGAGTAAGGGTTATGCGGGCGCAACGGTTACAACATTGATTCTCTGTGTTGATGTCCTGGGAATGGCGTCCTGGCACGGTTCAGAATCGTCAAGGCGCAACAGCCAGGTTGATCCGTGGCGTTGGAATCCCGGGAACAAGTGTTTGGCATGGTTCAGGGTCTTCAAATGGGTGTCTTCCAACAAGACAGTTCCCTCAATGGATTTGAACCGTTGTAGGGGCCCATGAAGAGGGAGCTTGGCCTCCAACATCGTTGATTGCCCTTGGGTTTACACTGGTCCTCCTCGTCCTCCTCCTCCTCTACCTGGTGCTCGTCAGAATCATGAGCCTTTCCTCCTACTCCTCTTTCTTTTCCTTATCCTCCTCCTCCTTCTCCTCCTCCTCCTCCTTATCATCCTCCTTATCCTCCTTATCCTCCTCTCCCTCCCCTTCCTCCGTCCCTCCTCCGTCTCCTCCTCCGCCTCCTTCCTCGCTCCATCGAGCCCAGTGTGGGGGCCACGAAGCGTATTCTGTTTGTGCCGAAAAGGACGGTGCCATCATGCGACCGTTGCCGCGAAGCGTGTGGAAGGTGTGCCGAGATGGGTCGGTGCAACCATTCGACCGTTGCCACCTGGGCTTTCGGTGGAGCTCCCTATGGGGCCACGACGCGTGTAAGGGATGTACAGAAATCGGCCCGAGGCGGCATGGGACCGTTGCCAATGAGGAGGACTTCGGTGGAGTTCCTGTGGGACCACGAAGCGCATGGGGCCCGAATGGACCGAGGCGGCATGTGACCGCTGCGACTGGGGCCTTGGGTGGAGCACCCTACGGAGCCGCGAAACATGTAAGGGGTGTGCCGAAATAGATCCGAAAAGGAAGAGAGGATGGCCAACAGTATCAAACGTCTTGCATCCAGCGCAAGCTCTTCAATAACGACCATGGCTAGGAGCTCGAGGAACATATTTTAAGTTAACCAGCGCAATCGTTGGCACATCAACATTGAAGTGTTGCCTCCAGCGCAAGCGTTTCGATAACGAGCACGGCCAGGGGTACGTGACGAAACTGACCAGGGGGAAGTTAGGTTGGCACTGTGATGAGCGATTGAAAGATCAGAGTGAGGGGGCCGAACGGTCACTGACTGTCCCTGGGTTCGTGGCTGAAGTGGGATTCCGCGATGCGGATTCTTGTTGGTGTTTGGTGTTGTTTGTTGTTGTTGTTGTTGCTGCTGCTGCTGCTGTTGTTGTTGTTGTTGAACATTATTACTTCTAAAGAATAATTATTGTTGGGGCCCCTGGTGCACGACCCCCCCGCCGCGCCTAGGCCGCAGCCTCATTTTCATCATTTTCGTGAGGAAGTCTCAGGCAAAACGGGGGAGTCCGGATCCGGTTGTGTTGTTACGATCGGTTTTCCCTTGCAAAAAATAAGCTAAAGTGGACATTTCTTGTTCTAACATAACCAAACTTCAAGAATCCCTTGCAAAAAATAAGGTAAAGTGGACATTCGCGCGCGCAAGACGAAATCCTTCCAAAACCTTAGTGTTCGTAGCGATTTTAACATAAAAACATCAAAAAACCAATGGTTTTAAAAAAAAATGTCAAAATTTCATCCCGCGCGCTCTTGCGGATTCGTAGGAAACCCAACACTTTTTAAACATTTCTGTCAAACGGGCTTTTGCGAGCAACTTTTTCGAACTTCTGCAACAACGGTTGCGCACCTGCCAGGGCCATCATCCCTGTCAAATAATACCATGCGGGACACATTCGTTTTTTCTTCGCGCGCGCACGCCGTCGTCGTCGGCCGCGGGGCCCTGAATAGTAGCCACGGTCGTCCGCATGCCACGAAGTGAAGTGTCCGAACGTCATAGGGCGGGAAGCTGGGTGTGGGTGGTGGCGAAGAGTCGTTTGGAAATTTGGTAGAGCTTGAACCGGCCCCCCCACAAAGTGGGGGTATTGCCCGCCTCCTATGAAAACCCTGGCACTGGTGAGAACGGTGTGTCCCCACGTGCTAGTAATTGTTGTTGTTGTTGTTGTTGTTGTTGTTGTTGTTGTTGTTGTTGTTGTTGTTGTTGTTGTTGGTTGTTGTTATTGTTGTTGTTGCTGCTGCTGTTGTTGTTATTGTTATGGTTGTTGGTGTTGCTGGTGTTGTTGTTTGTTTGTTGTTGTTGGTATTGTTGTTGTTGTTGGTGGTGTTGTTGTTGCTGTTGTTATTGTTGAATGAGGACGATTAGACCGGCCCGGGGGGACCCCAGCAACCCCAGCAACCCCAGCAACCCCAGCAACCCTTCCGCGGCCGCGGAAGGGGTCCTGGTAGGATCCCATAGGATTCCTGAGGGATCCCTATCGGATTCCTCAGGGATCCCATAGGATTCCTTAGGGATCCCATAGGTTTCCTATACGATTCCTATAGGATTCCTTAGGGATCCCATAGGATTCCTATACGATTCCTATAGGATTCCTAAGGGATCCCATAGGCTTCCTCAGGGATCCCATAGGATTCCTCAGGGTACCTAAGGGATACCCATAGGATCCCCATAGGATTCCTAAGGGATCCCATAGGATTCCCATACGATTCCTTTAGGATCCGCATAGGATTCCTATAGGATTCCAGTAGGATTCCTAAGGGATCCCATAGGATTCCTCAGGGACCCCATCGGATTCCCAAGGGACCCTACAGGATTCCTCAGGGATCCCATAGGATTCCTAAGGGCTCCCATAGGATTCCTAAGGGACCCCATAGGATTCCTAAGGGATCCTGTAGGATTCCTTAGGGATTCCATAGGATTCCTAAGGGATCCCATGGGATCCTATAGGATTCCTCAGGGATCCCATAGGATTCCTAAGGGGCCCCATAGGATTCCCAAGGGATCCCCATAGGATTCCTAAGGGAGCCCATAGGATTCCCATACGATTCCTATAGGATCCGCATAGGATTCCTAAGGGATCCTATAGGATTCCTAAGGGATCCTATAGGATTCCTCAGGGATCCCATCGGATTCCTAAGGGATCTCATAGGAATCCTAAGGGATCCCATAGGATGCCTATAGGATTCCAATAGGATTCCCATAGGATCCCAGTAGGATTCCTCAGGGACCCCATAGGATTCCCAAGGGATCCCATAGGATTCCTAAGGGATCCCATAGGATTCCCGTACGATTCCTATAGGATCCCCATAGGGTTCCTAAGGGATCCTATAGGATTCCTAAGGGATCCTATAGGATTCTTGAGGGATCCCATCGGATTCCTAAGGGATCCCATAGGATTCCTAAGGGATCCCATAGGATTACTATAGGATTCCAACAGGATTCCTATAGGATCCCCAGTGGGATTCCTAAGGGAACCCATAGGATTCCTCAGGGACCCCATAGGATTCCCAAGGGACCCTACAGATTTGACTTCGCCATCCCTGGGGGGGCTGCGGTCTGCGAAACTGTCGCCACTTTCGAGGGCTGCTGGGGGGGGGGGGGGCATCGGAGTGACCTGCGCGGGGACTTAGTATAAACAGGTTGGATCCTTCGGAACGCTGAAA